ATTCGATTATGATCATGTTGAAATTCCTTTTGTGTTCTTATAAGCCTTTGTACTTCCTCTCTTCTGAGAGTTGTCACTTCATGTGTTGATGTTTTTTTAAAAATTAGAGGGCTATTGAATGGTTTGCGTTGGGCTTGAAAATACCGGGTCTGATAACAGAGCACTCTCTGGAAGTGTCTGGTTTAAATAAACAGTAATGACTTGTCCATCGTCAGCAGCCAGCTCTGTTCCACCCAGCACAATTAATTTAATTAGGCTATATTTATAGCTAACTTAGCTATTGCTTGTTATTTTCTCCGTACAGTTGCCGTTGTATCTTTCAAAGTCTAGATTCAGAAAGGGGCTTTTGTTCTTCACAAAAAATAAATAGGTGGCTAAGGTTTATAATTCTTAGAGTTTATGGTAGTAGTATGTACACCTTTTCCTTTTTGTCTGTGGATTTCTACACTATTTCATATGTGTAGGTTGTGATAGTTTCAAAAGTGCCTGATTTTGTTTTACTTTAGAAAGCCCATACCTCTGCAATGTCAGTCCACCATTACTTTATCTCTGTTCCTATTTGCCATCCGTGGAGAGAAGGGAGATAACGGATCGTGGCTCAAGGCTTTGGTGAAGACCTACATGTTGTGTGCCTCTGGGCAGTGTTTATTAACACATGATGTTTTCGTCAGTCTCAAGGGCCCGCACCCTGCAAGGACTTCATACTCTGTCTCTCCTCTGCTTGCGTGGTCACTTTTTAAAGAATGCCAACATTAAAGATGCTGGGTCACTGGACCATGAGCATCCTACTACTGCTTCCTTTGCCCTTTCCTTCCATCCAGCCTTGTGATCCACCTCACAGAAACAGCGCGTGCCCGTGCTGTGACGAGGGTGCTGTCTCTATCTCAGCCGAGAGGCTGCTTTGAATGTTTCAGATGTCAAACATGTGGTGTTTCTTGTTTTTGTCTCACCTGACAGTATTTTAATTATCTGTATACCTACAAAATGCCTGGGGATATCAAGAATTGGGTGGACGCGCACATGAACTGTGAAGACATCGCCATGAATTTCCTGGTGGCCAACGTCACGGGCAAAGCTGTCATCAAGGTGGGAGGCTCCTGGCCCGGTTCTGCCACTCCTGTGCTCTGTGGTCCCCAGCAGGTCTCCCCTCTCCGAGCCCGAGGACTGGGCGCGACTAATCAAGTGGGGGACTAGGCAAACCTGACGCTCCCTTTTAGCCTTGAGATTCTGTGGCTGACGCTGTCACGTTGTGAAATTAAAGCTAGGCTTTGAGAGTTTCAGCCTATTTTCCTTTTTCATACAACTTTCCTTAATTCTTCTTTTTAACCTCCAGCATCATAGATGAAGGCTACAATTTCAATCTACGAATCATGTTTTCAGAAAATTAAATTTTATTCTCTAAGCTGACTTGGAATCTCATTCTCTTTAAAGATGCAGTTTACATCTTAATGTAGCCGATTTTTATTTTTTTATAGTTGTTGAAAAGATGGGACACTTTACACAGTGATAACTGTAGTTGTCCTGAACATTGTCTATATATCTATATAACTAGTTTTAAGAAGTACCTTTCCCAGAACATCTTAAAAGCTGCAAGTACATAAAGATCCCATAATAGATGTCTATTCTTGAAATACAGATTATGCTCAAATCAGATCCCCAGATAGGTAGAAAGAGTACTTCTTTATATGAGCAGCACTGTCATGACCTTTATCCATCCGGATTAGATTCCATATAAGAAAATGGGCAGTACTTCTAGGCTAGACTCCTATACTGGGCCCTTCCAGTGCTGGAAGTGGTGAGGCATTCCCCACTGATTTCTCAAGCTGTTAGTTGATGAGAGAAGCCAGATTAAGCCCAAGTGACCAGGGCAAGAGGAAAAGTCACTCTCTCTACTCTCCAACTTTGACCCAGTCTTCACCCTGTCCCCCAACTCTCTGACTCAGTGAACTACTAACTCATTGCAAGAAAAATTAAGGAATGTAAATTGAAATAATCAGTTTTAAAGGAACCCCTCCCACATTTCCAAGTTTGCTTTTTGACATGCGTTTAGATGTTTCTAGCTGTGCCTGCTTAGGACAATGTTTTGTTCATTTCTGGTATCTGTGCTCTTAGGCTGGTCTTAGTTAGCTCTCTTCCTTCCCCTCCCATCCCGCCACTGCTTATTTACTTTTACTAAATTAGGATAACCAACTCCCCTGAGTTGCTAGAAAAATCATTAGAAGTTTAAGGTCTGAGAGGGTTGAGGGGACAGTCAGGAAGATTCATGGCGTGAGGGACCATTTGCGTTTTTTCCCGAGTCAAGGAAATTGCAAAATAACCAGGCATCTTCAAGAGCATAGTGCTGCTCAGAGCATCTGCCATTAGCTGAAAGGCGGAGAAAGTGCCTGCTGGAGCCAAGGTGATGGTGAAAGTTATGGGAAGCTGTATTTCATCGCCCTATGGCTGCAAGAACAAATGGTGTTTATACAAGGACCTTGGCAGTGAGAAAACAGTCATTAAACAGGAATTAAGGAGCTTGTCATCACCACTTCTTTCCAGTTGCAGAAGGCAAAAGCCCTCCAAGCCTCTTTTATTGGGCCCTTGTGAGTTCTGCGCTTGGCCGAGCCAGACAGAGTGAGTGGAGGAGTGGTGAGGTGTGTGTGTGTGCGCTCGTGCGTGTGGAGGGGCAGGCATCTCCGCTACTGGAGCACACAGTGGTGGCACCGCATGACTCTGTGATCCTTGGCACTGACAGCCAGGTATATTTTGTTCTTTTCTGGCAGGTAACACCACGAAAGAAATTCAAGTGTCCAGAGTGCACAGCCATTGATGGGCTTTCGCTAGACCAGACGCACATGGTGGAGCGGTGAGTGAGCCTGTAACAGAAGACTGCCCTCGCCTCTGATCCCCACTTCCTGCCTGGGGCCTGTTTATGGGACTTTTTTGGAGATATAAGGACAGCAGCTGGTAGCCATAGTCACCTCCTTTTGCATTGTGAGAATTGGGTTAGTTCAAGCCCAGGTCACCCAAAGAATTAATTTGGAATGCTACTCACTCAATTTGTAATGGTTGGAAGGGTCTTAAAAATATAGCTGGTCTTAAGCTCCAGAAGCCAGATTTTCCGTGTGGACTAAGCAGTTAACCATCCACAGTCATTTGAGTAGAAGCTAGTTAATTCTAGGGAAATACTGCATTGTTTTTCAGAATAATATTTCTACTTTATAGTAAAAGTTTAATTAGAAAGAATTAAACCAAACCCACCAGAGAGAAATCACCTTTGAGGACACTACTAAAAACACATACTGAGCACAGAATCGAAAGCCTAGCCCTTTGTGTTTCAAAGGAGGAGGAGCAGGGCAACTCTAATACGTCCTTTATTTCAATTCGATTAACTACTCAGTGGGCACACCCTTGCGTGCTATGTGATGTCCGGCCTCATAGTTACATATGGCAGGAGCAGGAGCAGGAGGAGACATGACCTCCCTTGAAGACCTACTGTAGGTCTCAATAATAGCCCTAATTACTCTGGCTTGTACCCTAAGCTGCTTAGCTCCTGAAACAAATCTACTTCCCCCAAAAGGCGGTTCTTTGTACAAGACAGCAAACTCTGATTCCAGCAGCACCATTGCCAAGGAACCAGAATGCACTCAGAGAATGTCACGGTGAGATTGAGACATCTCGTTCAGGTTTCCACGGGCCCCACAGTATCTGCTTGCAGCAGTCATTCTGAAAGCTCTCGGCAACATTACCATCCTTCAGGTGTGGAGGGTCATCTGTGCAGAAATTGTTTCAGTAACTTGGACTCTTCTATAATGCTTTGTGCCTTCTTCTCAACTTCTTATCTTACTTTTTAAATAATCTCATTGTCTCTTTTATATATCTTCCCCAAATGTTATAACTTTTACTGTGAAATAACATTGTGATTTGGGAAATACCTTTTACTAAAATGGTAAGTATCATGCAATCAAGGGCATTGTCATTAGCTGTCAAAAGCTCTTTCCAAAGAGACCCCTGTAAAAAGGTGAACTCTTGCCGTTTGTGACAACATGGATGTGACTGGAGGGAATTACGCTAGCAAAATAAGTCTGAAGGAGAAAGACAAATCCCGGAGGAATGCACTCATATGTACAATATAGAAAACAAAGGAATTGACAGAACTAAACCAAAACAAACCCTAGAAATATGACTGCAGAATTGAGGCTCCTAGAGGGGGAGGAAGAGTAAGAGTAGGAACAGTGTGACTGGGGTCTAGGGTAAAGGGTGGTACGTGCTTGGGTGGTGGGGGTGATGTGGTTGCAAACACCTGGGAGGCGTGAACTTACTCCCCTAAGTCATGCACAATGTTGTAAATCAATGTAACCTCAATAAAGAAAAAAACAAGAAGGGAGACATTAGTTATAGTTTGGTGGAGTACATGACATTGTTATTTAAACCTACTCCTATTCTCTGAGTCTTGGGAAAGAACTCATAGCATTAAGCTAATGGGTGATTGATTTGGACTAAATTAAAATGCTAGAACTATATGGTCCAAGAAAGAAACTGCAGGGAAAAAAATGTCAGCCTGATAATGCCCTTGAAAATCATGCTGAAGCTAAATGATTCTTGTCTAGCACCACTGAGATCTTAGCATGAAGAGAGATTTCAGTTGGACCTGAATGTTGCTTAACACCGAAGAAAGCCACTACGGGATACATGGAGGCTCTCGCTTGAGAAGTGGCTGTTGAAAATAGAGTAACCTAGATATTGTTGGATTGAATCATATTATCAGAGTTTATTATTTAAAAATCCACCTAGATGTATATAATATGTGTAGCTATATGAATGCAATATATCATGAATATATATCTATGAAACTTAATTCAGAGCAATATCTTTAATGCCAGAAGAGAGTCCCAAAGCATTGTAATTGATCAGGAAAAAAGAGGTGACCTCTTAATTGACTTTTAGGAATATTTTTGTAAAAGAGGAAGTATCAAGATCACAGATCACAGAGGGTGAAACTGGGGCAGGATAGGAGGCCCGGCTTTGTGCAGTGGCTGTATCATCGCCTGTGAGGTTTGTCCAAGGCGTGATTATTGCTAATTGAAAACTTATCCCAGTGCTCCACTGTGATGACTTGAAATACAGCCGTCTTTGGTGATTTTTGATGCTCTCTCTGGAGACTAGGGAGAAAGAAAGAAGAGGAGCTCCTTGGTAAGGGATACTAGATATGGTCACAGGTGCCAGTCAGCAAGTTCATGGTGTATTTGGCAAGCACTTAAGAAGTCCAGTTTGGCTAGAGCTCAGAATTCTGTCCCTTTAGTGCCAAATTGCAAAGGCTCTTGGATCCCCATTTAAGGAGTTTGAACTTTTTTCTGGTAAGCCAGAGAAGCTGCTTTTTAGTAGCTTGATCAAAGTAATGCTGCGAGATTAATTTGAAAATTAGTGCATAGGATGGAATGAAGGGTGAAGAGGTCAAAGAAAGAAGAGTCAGCAGCCTTGAACTAGTTGAGTGTAGGAAGGAAGGGCAGGGTTAATTGGGGGAGGGATGGGGTGAATCGTTGTACCATTAACACGATGATTAATGAGGACAGGAGGAGGTTTTAACATTGGGTGAAGCTAGAAAGCAACAAGATAGGTGATTTTGGGGTCTTACACTCTGTGTATGCTGTGGAGCCAGCAGTTGGAGATGTGGAGCTAGAACTTAGAAGGTTTAAATTTAGGTAGATCTGTGGGAGACAGCTGCCTGGAGATGGCAGCTGACTGGAAAAGTCAAGGGCAGACTCTTGAAAAGTTCTGACACTCAGAAAAAGCAACCGAAAACAAAGAAGCAACCCTTGGAGAGACCAGGAGGGAACCAGCACGTGCAGCATCAGAAGCCAGGGAGAAGCCAGGAACGTGCAGATGGGCACAGACTTTGAACTGAGTGGTCACTGGTGACTTTGAAAAATATAACGTCATAAAGTGATGACACGAAAGGGTTATGGGGGCGAGGAAGTGGAGTTAGCAACTCTAGACTACCCTTCTGAGAATAGGAAATGGAAGGAAATCAGCCTTGAGATCAGTTAGAAACTGGGAGCAATACTATTTGGATTAAACACTAAATCACTGAATTATTAAATAAGGCACTTAGATTGGGAGGAAGACGTGATTTAAATCATCTTGGGTAGACCAAGAGATGGAGTTACAACTGTAGAGTTATTTGTTTTGTTTGTTAAAATTCCCTATGCAGAATGCACAAACAGTGAAAAAAGTGAAAGTTACCGAAAGTTATGGTCTTGCCTTGGGTTTTATGGCTCAGCCATCTTATTGATTATTGTGTTTGGGACCATCGATCAGAAATCTCAGTAGTGTAGGTGAGTAGTTTTTACTACCCAGCAGCCATCCTCAGGATCTGCTGTTATTTCTTTGAGGACTAAACAATGTAATTGTTCATTTTGACCAGTAGCTTCACCAAGACCAAAGCAATGTGGCAGCCAGGGTTGGTTTAGGGGGAAAAAATGCAGAATTTTGATTTAGGCCAATCTTTTAAAATTCTGATTTGTCACTTAATGATCTGTCTGACTTATGGAAATGGACATACTTTATCTGAACTTTAATCTCTCCTTCTCCTAAAACAGGAATATTAATGACAGTGGTCCATTCTTAGGTTCAACAATTATTTATTGAGCATCTTTGTGCCAAACGCCATGCTGAGTGTTGGGGGTGAATGGAGTAATCACACGTGACAGGCTGTGGCAATGTTCGTTTCCTCCCCAGTTTCCCCAGCGGCGTCCTGAAGGCTCTTGGTTACTGTGGGTGGTTGTATTTGAAAGGAAGACAGAAAGCCACAAGTCCTTTCTCCCCTAGACACTCCCAGCACTTCAGAGACAGACATTTGGCAGTCCTCTGTCTGTTTGTGGTTGACTGGGAAACCAACCCAGGGGGACAGTTGCTGACTGGGTGACAGTTGCTGACTGGGTGCCGACCCCTCACAGAACAGTTCGTGGGCCACCAGCAACCAGCCCACTCATTACCTGCTCGACCTGTTCCCAGCCCAGTGCCCCTGTGTAAAAGAAAGTAGGAGGTGCCGGCAGGATCTGCAGGACCTGCAGGAGAGCCAGGAGCGGGCCACACAGGGTAGGCTGTGTGGAAAGAAAGGTGTACTCATTAGTCCCCCGTTAGCCAGGGCAACTGTCAACAAGTCAAGGTGGCCTGAGCCTTCCTGGCCTCATGCCTGTGACATGGCCCTGCTGGCAGATATAATGACAGAGAAGACATTGTCCTCATCCTCTCCAAGGGACCTTGGGGCTGCTATTCTCTGCCGAGAACCAGGATTCTTCTTGAATACTGGCTCGCTGGTCCCTAGGCTGGGCATGGCTGGTTCAGTCCACAGGCATAGTAACTGGAAATTAGACAAACCCATGTATGTTTACAAGTAGCTATCAAAACTAAGACTTTGGAGAGGTGTGACTCTGCCGGGGCCTTGACTCCATAATCTGGGGAGAAGGAAGCTGCTGAAGCTCCTCAGTGCTTTCCCCAGCTCCCTCTCAATTTAGAATAATAGATACTCCCCAGATGTTAATTTCCAGCCCATCCTCGGGGACCCTAGAATTATGTTAATAAGTAAACATGTATCCTCTCATAATTAAGACTTTAGCCTCTGGAGCCAGAATGCATGGGTTTGGCTCTGCCTCTTACTAGTTATTTGACCTCTGGACATGCTACTTAGCTTCTCTGTTTCTCAGTTCCAAAGTAAAAATGGGGATCCTAAGTAGGAGGACCTCCCCACGGGGTGCTGTGGGGCTGAGATGGGTTACTGACACACCTAGGGCACCTGTAACACAGCCCTGAGTGTGTGATGACTGTAGTTGTTGTTTGCGGTGTGGACACGATCACGTTGTCAGCTGGGAGAACTCCACATGACAGAGGAACACGCTTTTGCTAGAAGCAGAACGGCCACAAGAAAAGAGTTAATAATGACTGCCTTCTTTATCCATTCATTTCTTCCTGAGCTCAAGGCATTAGAATAACAACTTGTTAATTGGGATCATTTGAATCTTCTAGTATCTTGAGAACAGAAGAAGCTTCTGTTGGTTCGTTTCTTGAAGTCCAGTCACCAGGTCAATGGTTCTGCCTTGATTGGTTTGTTCTTGTTGTAGATCTCTCAGGGGCCTGGGCCTGGCTGAGGTGAGAGTAGTGACCTTTCTGAAATCCACCCTTGGACTCCCTTTAGCTTCAAAAGCCACGTCCCCTCGGGTCTGACGCTGAGCTGTCCTCCTTAAGCAGCTGTCACGCTCCACTGGCCTGAGAGAGCAGAGCCATTTCCCGCCAACCTTCCTGACCCGCTCACCTCTCAGGAGGTTGCTCGTGGGCTTGGGGGTGAGCAAACTGACATCTCCCCCCTCTTCCAGCAGTGCTGGGCCCTTCTGTCTCTAAGTGGGTCATGGCTGCTGGTTCTGCTGTGGGAGTGGCTGAGTTAGGCTGAGTTATGGAAAGTGCTCTCAGTAACCTCCAGCTTTCACAGAAAAGACCACCACTTATAGACCCCCCAGTGAAGGTTGCTTGAATGAAAGAAGTGCTTATCATTTGAAATTGGGCTTGACCATCTCCCTCATCTTCTTTGGCCTTCCCTTGCTTTGAGTGGAACACCTTCCTTGCTGCCCTTTAAACTTAAGCTCAGATCCAAGTGATTTTTCCTTTCCATCCTTAGCCTTCTCTGTAGTTGGCAGAGATGGGGTTAAGAATTGTTGGCAGCTAATCCACCTTGGTTTGAGGCCTGCTTGTACTGAGCAGGAGGAATGACTGGAATTTGAGGGGGAGGGAGAGAGCTATTCTGACCTCTGTGGGGCCATGGCCTCCAAAAAGCATCCATCCCTGTTCACTTTCTCCCACTGAGCTAATAGAGTACCCCCAGATCTCTCATCCACACCCACCCATCCTTTGTTAGAACCTGGGAGCAGGCCTAGGATACTTGGATTTCTTTTGTTGGTGTTAAAATTGTGTATTTTGCTGTCATCTCTCAGCCTGTTGAACTTTTCTTTTTCCTCCCCCATTATCTGCTCAACCGCCACCCTTCCCGGCACTGCACAGATCTGAGTGCATCAACAAGTTTGCTTCCGTCTTCGGGACAATGCCTCTTAAGGTGGTGGAGCACCGGGCTGACCCCGTCCTATACAAAGACGACTTTCCCGAGAAGCTGAAGAGCTTCCCCAACATCGGCAGCTTGTGAAACATGCCAGCGGTGGAGGTTTGAACGTTCGGCTTGGACAAGGGAAGAGAACTCGCTCCCCACGCTCTTCCATGCGGGCATTCTCCACACGCCAGATCTGGCCAGAGACCCAGCTCACCCTCTCTCTCAGGAACAGAAGCTGGTGAGGATGTGTGAGCGCCGTGAGCTGCACAGACCCTTGTTTCTTATGACCCCACCATGGGTTCTTTTTAAAAAAGCCAAACGGAAGCCTCGCGGTGCCCCAGGTGCAGCCCAGGGCAGGCCCTCGCGTCCGCGCCGGTGCCACAGTCACAGGAGGCTTCGCTGGCCGTGAGACTGCTGAGAAGAGAAACTACCAGCCCATTTCAGATTGGGAGAATGGTGTGAAAGATACTGATATCTTATTTTTAGTTATTTCAAATCAGTGAGTTCTTTGGAGGAAAAGCCAAGTGCTGAATTTGGTGTAAGATCCAAATGCCGTAGTGGGATTTGATATCTGCCTTGGGGGCTGGGGCCCCGGACTCGAAGAGCCCAGCTGCTGAGTCAGGATCCTGCGAGTTCCGTGAATTGTTCCTCTTTCGTTTGGCTTTTTGATATGATTAAAATTATTTTTTATTCCTTTTTTCTACTATGTCTTAAATGCTAGTTATTGATAGTCCAAGGAACTATTTCCTTTCGTGAGTTTAACTCCATCTTCTGGCCTTAACTCCAGCCTGCTGCCCATGTCTGGGAAGACCCAGACCCAGGCAGGGGGAGAGTTGGTGCCATGTGCATCGAGCAGAGGAAGAGCCGAGCTGTAAACATGCTAAGGGAAGATGTCTCCAAAGAGCGCCAAAAGAATCTGTTGGCTTCCTGATTAGATCCCGTCACTGTTTTATAGGTGTGTGTGTGGAGGGGGGAGGTACGGAGTGCATCTCACAGCCAGCCACTGAGTGGTCCTAGCTAGTACCATGTGGTAGAAGTTGGGGGCATTGTGACCCCCACCCCAAGAGG